TTCACAACTATTCCCGGTATGTGTTTTTGCATTAATTTTAGCCACAACTGTAACTCTATGTATGATTCCTCCCATTGGCCATACAATTTTGGTTGAGCCTGATACCTTACATACCATGCTTTATGATAGTCAACTGTGTAGTCGTATTGATATGTAATTGTAGCAATAGAACTAACAATTGTTATACATGAATTTACTTTGACCAATGGAATTAAAGCATCAGAAAGCATATACATATCCAAGTTATGACGATCTTAATTGAGTCTAATGATGGTGTATGTATGAGGTTGGACGTATTTTGTTAGCTTTCATAGGTTGTTCATCCTCTTCAAGCGTGATGCACAAATCCTCCAATCACATCCTTCATTCTTGTAGACACATTAAGCTATGTACTTGTTCGTATTTATTATTTTCATAGTCGACGTAACTAAGCTGTGTATATTATAGTTTTTAATGGTAGCCACAATGTGTTCTTTTTTTTTTCTGATCGTCGTTCCAATATAGAGCTCACCATTAGTACGTTGGTTGTATTACTAAATCTGTGGGAATTACAAAAATTTTGGAATGTTGAAAGCTTTCATATCAACCGTTGTGAGAATGAGATGGTGGATGGTAATAAGAAATATGAGTGACATTATCATCCGCTTTCACCTTATTACCATCGGGTCCGGTCTCCCTTAACAGTTCTTCATCAGAATTATCCCTCTTAAATCAGAATAATTCTGGGTCATTGAATGTGGGGATAACAAATGTAGTAGTTGTACATTGATCATAAGACCACTCACAAATCGTATTTCCAATACTAAAGTCGACAGCAGCAGTATAAGAATGTCTCCATATGGTTGTTAACACGTAATCCACACTAAGGATATACGTTAAATATCATCCAGATGAGAAATAAAAGAACGAGTTAAACGTTTCATTGTCTAACGACCTCATGTTGTGCTGAGAAGATGACACTGCCACTTTAGTACTGTATGGATTGTACGTTAAGTGTTGTATTGGTGACAGGTTCAGGTCAAAGTTAAAGCTAGTTACGCAAGAATGCCTTGGCATCGAAGACGATGATGCAACCAAGTCATTGAGTGTACTTTGTGTACTTAATAAGTTGAAGTCGTTACGTAAATTAGTTGTCAGACTCTGAACGTTATGATCAAAGTCAAAATCTACTCGTCTCAAATTTAGGACACTAGTAGTATCATTATCATCAAAAAATTTTGCATATAGCTCAAGAGGCCCTCCTAATGAATACTACAAGTGGGAATCAAGTATGATGTCCATAACACCATCGTCCTCAACGTTGAATATTAAATAGGTTAATGGTTCTAACGACGTCGTAGTCTATACTTCAACGATTTCATTTTTTACGATATGTGGATCATTGTTCTTGACTTCATTCATCAACTTCTTATACATTAATTTCCTCAACAACTTTATTGTCACATTATGTGTAGGCTAAAAGATGACACCGAGATATACATCACGGATCCTTTTGCCATCATAGTATACAAAAGTAGTAATACTTCATCTTCTCGACATATTTTAAAAATATCTACAATCATGCAAAGAGAAAAAAAACATTAGCGAAATTATAATGACTTTAAACTATATAATAATAGAGAAGCGTCACACAAACATACGATTAAAACAGTTGCTGATCACTTCCCTTGTCATTGCCTTCATGTCTGTATGGTTTGATTGTTTGCCTTCACTTTCTTGAAATAAGGATTCTTAATGTGACGTGATAAGGACATGGGTCTACAAAAATTCTTGAAGTGACATGGCATGAACCTCTTATTCTGCAAAACGTGAGTTTTTCAGAGATTTATTACATGACAGCAACGAGCATACGCCATTAATTTGAAGTGGACCTCGCATTATACAAGGCGAAATTCCCTGTCACATCATATCAAGAAGAATTGGTAGGACACGAGGCCTTGTCTATATAAATTCCTCTTGTTCTCTCAAACCTAACCTTCTCTGAAACCTTCTTCCTTCATGATTTATCCCTTCTAGGGAAACTTCTCATTTATAAAACTCATCCTCTTTTAGTGGCATCTATATTTTTATTTGGCCTTAATAAGAAACTTCTTATTCTATTAATTAAGATAAAGCGAATAAACTTTGAGAAACTTTAACGTCTCAGTATCTGCTAAGTTTTTTCCTTTGCATTTTGTTCCAACAATACCAAGAACATAAGTCTAAGAAGACGTTTCCTCACTTGTGACGTTGATTTGACAAATAACACGCCTCCTACGGATGCCCTTTGGGTTTTTTATGGCGTATTGGTATCCGTTTTTATAAAATGAATCATCATCTGATGGCAATATCTACTTATCCTCAATAATAATATAATGCTAAGATATGCACCGATAAGAGCATCAATATCTCCAGATAATTTTTGGAGTTATTTATGCCACTGTAATTTATTTAAAAAATGTATTCATTAGTTTTGAATTTCTTTTGGTTTAGAACCATTTTGAATTCGGGTTTTACCCCGCTTACAATGTCTCTTATGTGCCAATATCAGTCTCAATTTAAAAATAAGTTGAAATATTACGCCTCTAAGCTAAAAAATTACATAAATATTTTTATTAACTTCCCGGAAATACTCCTAAAAAGTTATAATGTTTTTATGTTTTTATTTGAATTAAAAATCCTGTTTTTTCAACATACCTCTTGTCTTGTGTAACGCTATATACTTCCTGACATGTTGGATTATATTCAAATCAAAAACTACATCTTTTCAGCAGACCTCACGACCTGTATAACGTGAGGTCCATCGATTCCTCACTTCGAAAAGGGTGTGATGACTATTATAAATAGGAGTTCATTTGTAAGGTTTTCTCAACATATTTAAAAAATGGAAAATATGTAATATATGGAGTTATTCCCAAGAGAAGTGTTATCTAAAATTCTTGTGCATGTAGTGTCTAATTCTATCGATGATTTTCTCAATACACGGTTAAGTTGCAAGACTTTCCACGAAGCCTCGAAGCACAATTACATCTTTGAAAATGTTTCAATGAAGAGTATCGATGTCATTCCTTTGACTCAAACTGAGAAAAGTTTTCAAGAAAGATTCAAAGCTAGTAATAATCACGAAGCGTTATACCAAGGAGGCATGTATGATTTTTTTAGTGGAAGAAATTCAGAGTCCGGTCTATATTGTTTGAAAAGAGCAGCCGATAAAGGTAATAACAAGGCTATGTATGTCAATGGTATTATTCTAATTTGTTTTGGGGGCTAATTAAGAGATGGAGGACTTCGAATTGCGATAGCTTTAGATTTCATCAATTCTAAGAAAATAAATTTAGAAGTTATTCATTCAGAGATCAATGTGTTTGTAGGCTTAATATCGTGGAGTCGTCACAATCTTGTCTTTCTAGAACTAATCAAAGACTGCAATTGTGATAACAACTGTCCGCGTAATTCAACCGATCAAGTTTGGCAACCAAGTAACAACGTACGTACTTGTTATTCTTTTTTTAAACCATGAAGCAGCTTTGTTTGCTAGCATGTTACATTAGAATGAATTTTAATTTTAATAAGTTTTGTTTATGTATTAAAAATATAGTTTTTTTATTATTTTATTATGTACTCTATAATAAAAAATATATTTATTAATTTAACCAAATTCATAAAATAGTTTGGTATTTTTATTATTACAACTAATACCTCGCGTTACGTAAACCGCAATATCCATTCAAAATATGCTATACTTCAAATTATCGAGGACACTTCAAATTCTCAAGGACCTCACGTTACGCAGCATGCAAAGTCATTTATAGAAATATTAAATTAGGTTATCTGAAAAGTGTTCCCACGTTGGAGGAGTCTTGTGAGTTGTGAAACGCGAGGTCTTTACATACGTTTTGTAGGACGTGAGGTAGTTTTACGTATGCAATTTGAACTATGTTTTTTTATTAATATTGTTTTAGGTTATTTGTCTAATAAATGAATTTTTAAATTTTTTTTCCCAAATGAAAGAGTGCTAGCAGCCACGATGCTTCCCCACCACCCCCAAAAAAATATTTTTACTTGATAACAATTTTAATATTTACTAATTTAAATACTTATAAAAAAATTAAAATCAAATATTTATTGAGTTTGTATTAATATTAAAAATAAATAACTTAAAATCAAATATTTAAATATGAAAGGGCACGGGACCAGATCCCTCCATCTCTATTATTTTTTATAGGCGTGTTTTATTGTTTGTGGAACACTCTTGAGTGGAAACAAAGGTGAAGTAATTGATTCTATTAAGGGATGCATGTGGACTGATAATAATAATAATAATAATAATAATAATAATAATAATAATAATAATAATAATAATAATAATAATAATAATAATAATAATAATAATAATAGTAGGTGACAGGGACCGTGCACCAAATTACATTCAATACTATAATGCAATTAATGCACATGATGGTAATGTTTAAGGCTTTTTTTTTTCTGCCCAGTTTCCACATTTCATTTATACCTGTTTCATTTGTACGTGACTCACTGAGATAGATCGGAACCCCCAAAAAGAAAAATCAGTGAGCTGCACAGTTAACAATTAATTGATTTCAGTGGCAGGTGAGTCGTGACTCGGCAACGGATCGAAGAGTTTTAGCAGCAGCAAAGACAGTTGTGTGAAGCTACGTGTTCTAAACCGAGTGGTGTGGGGACACTTTTCTCTCTGACTGATTCTCTACGCCATTTGTCTCAGTGTTGCCGCGTGGAGATCTCAATCATTTTCAATTATTAATTGTTTTTGCCAAATATAAATTTCAGTTATTCAAAAGAAATAAAAGTAACGAAGTAGTTGAGTGAGTAAATGAAAAATGATGGTGAGATTTTGCAAGTATAAATTGTGTGGTCGAATAATAGAGCTTTCATTTTAGCTTTTTATCTCACCATGAAATAAAAAGACAAAAAAAAAAATATGAACAAAACCCTAAACGACACCAAAAGAAGAAGAAAAAACACTCTACTTTCTTTCGTTGAAAATGGCATCAGATGAAGGTATGACGGTTGTTTCATCTATGCAAGACGATGAGTACGATGATCTTGATATTGGGTTTCATCCACATAACTTGTCCAGGCTTTCTATGTGTACTAGCTCCATGTGCACTAATGATGGTGATGGTGATGGTGATGGTGATGATTATGATGATGATGATCATATGGGGATGTCTCTGTACATGTCGAGATTGTCTATAGAAAGCTTCGATGAGGATGCGGATGTGGACGAAGAGTTCTCCGGGAAGAAGTTTCTCGAGCTGTCGTCTGACTCCGACCAAGAACCTAGCTGTAACTCGCTTCCCGCAACGCCGCCTCGTCGGAGGACCAGGACGGGGACGTTGACGATGGTCAAAGATTGCGCCAGCTACAACGAAGCTCAAAAGGGGAGTATCGGGAGGCCGGGAGGGCGGAGCAGCCGGAGCAAGAGTTCGAGGAAGAGGAGGGTTATAAGGGAAAGATGGGCGAGGTGAGTGGTGGCACTAAAAGTGAGAGCAAGAAGAAAGATGGGAGTTTCAGTGGGAAAGTGAAGGGGGTGGCTTTATGGTGATTACCCGACCGAAAGGTGGGAACAGGTCGTTTATGGATTTGGGGGAAGTCAAAGCGTGTCGGGATCTGGGGTTCGAGCTGGAACACGAGCGTTTGTTCGAGATGCCCGGTCGTGTTTCGTTGTCGGCTTCCACTTTCGATAATACTACCAGTGGTAGCAATTCCCCCATTGCTAACCGGCGTATTTCTAGCCCTGGTTAGTCAAAATTATTGCCCTAGTTGACGAGGAACTAGATTCTTTCAGGTCATGAATTCGAATACTAACGTTTTGTACGGAACAAATTGAGTTTACTCTCATAATGGATGCAGAGGCCGTCAATAAATTGAACATTAGTGATTAATTCAAAAAAGAAAAAAATATTGCCTAAGATTTGATTTGAATTCTTTTTCAGTTAATCTGAGGGGGGATTGTTTGTTTACTTGTGTAGGTGATGACCCTAGAGATGTCAAGGCTCGGCTGAAAGTGTGGGCACAAGCAGTGGCACTAGCATCCACAGCCAAGCACTGAAGCTACTCTCAAATATAATCTATTTTGGTATTCTTCTTCGCTTTACTTCCAAAAAAAATTTCACAGGTTTCATAAGACAATTCCGAATTACATTTTTTAGGAATAATGTTAGATGATTATCCTTTTTTCATTTATTTGTGTATAGCTTTGGATTTGTAAATAAGAGGTTAGAATAAGCAGATATATAGTAAGATCTGTTTTATTGTATATAATACCAACAAAATTAAAATAAATATAAAATTGTTAAATCAAGTGATAATAAGTTCAATAACTATTTTTGTATAGAAGAATAAATTCAATAACTGTAAGGTATTGGTATTGAGATAAATAATAATAAAAATTTGAATCTTATAAATAACTTCAAGAGTAAAAATAACTGTATTACAAGTATTATTACTGTTTAATTTTCATATTTTAAAATTTTATCTAATAATTCTTCAATGAAGATTCACGGTTAAATTATTTTTAAATTTTAATAATTTACAAATTTTATGCAATAAAATTGCAATATTTCATGTGATAACAATGCTCAAAAAAATGTTACTAAAACTTAAATGATCAATCTAATTTATTTGAGAGTTGTATTGAGTGTAAAAAGTTCAGAATTTCATTTTTTTTTTATTCCCAAAATTTGTGAGTTTCAAGCATCCTCAAGCCAAGTGGAAAATATCTCTTTCAACCTTCAATTTCTTGCAAAGAACACCCAGGGCATCGACAATGGCAACCGGAGGATATTGGTAAAATGAATTGGCCACAAAAACAAGTGATTTGCATGAATGATGTGAAATGCCATGGAGAGGTTCTTTGCTTATAAACAGAAGATGATATTGATAGCCATATTAATCAGCAGACACAGGAAATCCCAAAGTTCCACTTTATTAAACACCAACTTATGATTGTTACAATTTCCACGATCTGAAATCATGGAAAAGAATAAATATTGAAGCCATAGAGGCTTCTACAGTAAATAAGTTCTCACTCACTTGAGGACAAGATCATGACAAGTCTTGTCGCAGGGGTACGGGCAGTCAATAGCTTTAACGGCTGTTCGGTCAAAGAACCAATCTGTGATTGCCACTGCAACTGCCTGCAACGATAACATAATCGAAAGCAAGTCAGAGTGCTACATGAGGGTTAGTTCTCTATGAGATTCGGACGATGGACATTGTTCGCTGCATTGATCAGCAGTTGAACAGAGACGGGACATACCTTGTTTCCAACACGAGGAGAATCGTTCTCATACCATGTAGGCTGCAGCTCTGATTGGCAGTGAGCGAAACAAGAATTTATAAACAAACCGTTTTGGTTGGACTGTGAGAATACTTCCACAGCGCTAAGCATTTGGTTCCTAAAGTCTGTTCCAAGGTGAGGAAGAAAAGGAGAGGTTAAAAGCAATTCGTTATATCAGCAACTTGCCATTGCAAAAATTGAAACAAACTCCGAAAATCACCTTGAAAAAACTTAATCTGCGACGTGTTGCAACGAAGGCGATCTACTTTGCAGTCATGCCATAAACCATGAGGATCAGCAATTGATGGAATTAAACTCTGATCAACCTGAAAAAAAAAATGAAATCAGTATCTAAGCAAAGTTATTCGGCATTCAAGGGGTCATCTATTGAGACAATGAGGAATAGGAACCAACAAAAATAATATACGAAAGTACAACAAGGTCGAAGGCTACCTGCCAAGCATCATAGGCTGCATTGAGAAGAAACATAGGGGTCTTGATATTCGAAACCAAGTTTTGAGGGAAGAAGCACTGCAAATGAAATACGGAGTTATGGGCATTCTAATGAGTTAAAACTTACAAACTACACTCTCAAAGGTAAATAACTACATGAATGACAATGAAGAAAGTAGAGACGTTTACCAAAGTTGGATCCTTTTGGCTGGTACAGCTGCTCGGAAGATTCTTTTGCACACCCTAAAATTTCATGGAAGTTTTGTTTTAGTGAGCATAAATCAGAGACTAAATATTTAATAAAAACATTGGTTGATTACCCATAACAGCACTAGCTTTTCTTTCTTGATATTTGTCTTGAAAACATTAGCACCAAGTAATATGAATATATAGCTGAGGAACCTCAAATCAAGAGAACTGAACTAACAAAAACACAAGCTTATGCTCAAGTTAAGTTTTGAGCAACACGAAACCCACAAGAGGTGCGAAAGTCGTACCTGTAAGGTAACCACACCTTCAAACATATCTCTTAAGGTATGGCCACCAGCCACATTTGTTCTGCATAAGAAATGAAAAAAAACATGAACCAAAACTGTTTTTAGTGATCAAAGAGAAATTACTACAACAAAAATATGGTAATGTTGATAGTTCATTACGCATCAAGGAACAGGCCGGCATCACTTAGACATTTCGCTTTGGTAGTTCCTGGAAACAAACCCTTGAATTCATCACAATGGAGAATAGAAGCTAGACCCCCAGCTGAACATCCAGAAAGAAGTGCCTGAGACCACAGCAAATATGAAAAAACATATTAGACATCCAAAACCAAATTGGAATTTTGAAAAATAACTTGCTAAATGCAAAACCTGATTAGCATTTCGCATTCCCTTGGACATTAATTCTTCCATTGCAGCTGACCAGATCCTTTGTCCTCTAAAATAAAGCTGATTGGCCTGAAAGTTAAATCACAGAACACCATGAATACTTAACTAGTGTTCCAAAGAAGATGACATAAAGAAGAAGAAAACAATCTGTTCTAAAACAGAGGATATGGCTATGGTAAATCAAATTCAGGGAAATGCAGCAAAGGGTAAATCGAAATCTTTCTAACTAACCTCATCATAGCCCTCTCCAGCAAAAGAAGCCCCATCACAGTAACGCACCCTTACTCTATTCCAGTTGTAAAAACCAGGATTTTCTTCAGGTTTATTGCTCAAAATTCCAGTGAAATTTAATTGCTTCTCCATAAATTTGGATGAACCACGTCGAGTAGTTTTGCGGAAGACACAACTCCGAATCGTATTACACCATCCACCACCCTAAAATCGCAAGCACCAATCCAGAAAAGTGAAAAGCAATCAATACAAAAAGGATGAAAAATCGGATCTTTTTTTAACCAGACCTCCAAGTGGATAACCCAGCTGTTTGCACCTGATCCGAACCCACGATGAAAATGATAACCAGGAGGTGTCCCATCCAAACAAACTATCACACAACGTATTAAAAGATCAAACACCTCGTTTGCAATCCAGAAATGAAACAATTAAATGATAATGATACATTTTTCTTAAAAAAATTTACCAGCTCCTTTAGAAACAGCTCCTGGAATGAGAGTGAGGGGAACCATAAGAGAGTTAGCTCCAGGGGACACTGCTTCTTCATCTAAGTACGAAGGGAAAATCTCTTCAGCTATCAGTTCTTCAAACACATCTTCAGATCGGCTCAAATCAATCAAAGCTACACTCCATAAACTCAAAACCCATAACAAATACCACTTCATTGTCCCCTTTTCCCCCTCTTCTCCCTCTCTCCCTCTCTGTTTTTACTCTTGGTAAAGCTATTCCTAATAAAGAGTTTCAAAAGATCTAATCAAGTACCGACTTTGAAAAATACCACGAGTGCAATTACGGGAAACAGATCAGCAGTAATAATGAGTATTAATATTATAATAATGGCAAAAAGATCCAGGCTATGATTCCAATTATGGATAAGAAAAATCTAATCCAATCTTCTATGGTTGAGCCTCATCCACACCGCTTATTTGTATACTTCCTTTTCAATTCAGCCAATGTGCCTTTCTTTATCATTATCATCCCCAGCAACCACTGTTTTCTTTGAGTCATCCCTTGTTTTCTGTCTTTTTATTCCAAAACTTGTTTAGCATGCCAACTATAGATTTCGTTTCCTTTTATAACAAACTTTACTACTTTCCTTTTGATGCCCACGCAAGATTTTGGGGTTTGAATGGAAAGGAAGAGAGATAGAAATGGAATAATTGGGATTGTAGGTAAAGCAAACAAAATTAGCAATCACTCTAAAACGTATGATCATGTTATAGCTCTATATGTTTTAGATTATAAATCACATTAGAAGTAGTATTGTTCTTTCAAGATCTTAAATTAAAGTAATTATATTTATAAATTATATGTATAATTAATAATTAGAAAAATTATCAACAAATATTATCTTATAAATACATCCAACTATTTATAAAAAATAATTCACTTTTATATGTATTTTTCTTCATAAAAAAGTCAATATTTAACCTCATGTACCTTTGTCGTAATTAATCCCGAGAGAGAATGATGGGTTTTTTTTTAAAGTATGATGGTTTAATATTTGTTTTTCGCGATCATATGTGAATATTTTTAGCCGACACATTTCTCGTCCCGTGCTTTACAGTTATGGTAAACTATTTAAATTTCATCGAGGTTGGCATCAATATAACTACTATTTTTAAAATTTCTTTAATATGATTATTTAATTAGTTTTAATAGAGTCATTTATCATTAATATTTGTCGGAAGTACTGACGTGACAGTTAATAAAATCGATATAAGTATATATTTGGTCCTCAATAGTTACATATTCTATCAATTTAGTTTTAGTTTTAACTCAATTCAAAAAAGTAGTTATATATTCTATCAATTTAGTTTTAGTTTTAACTCAATTCAAAAAATAAAGAGTAAAGTATACAAATGGTCTCTCGATTATAAAGTAATATTTTATTAAATCCTTTAAGTATTAAAAATTACAAAATAATCATTTGATTATAGAATAGCTTTGTCAATAATAAAGTATATAATATAAATTTGTTATGTTTTTGTTATAACCGTTCTATGTTAGTTGGGTTGGTGGTTATTATCTAAGCCCATTATAAATACTCTTGTAAGCCTCTTTTTGTAATCAACCCGTTTAATAAATCAGATCAATTACTCTTTTGTTAAATTGTTTTCCCCTTTCTTTCTTTATTTTTAGTTAGGGTTCATCTTTGTCTTCTCGACTGTTTATCGATTCTCTACATGATATCAGAGCATGTTTCCAGTCGGTGGTTGGAGTTTCGATGAGCGGTTGAAGGAAGGTTTGCTTCATCAGTTCTGATTTGTGATATTTCCTTTGTTTTTTGCCTCGCGAGGTTGTGTTCTCCTCTAGCAAGCTGTTATCGCGGTACAATCGGTTCAATTTCTTGCTTTTCCCTTTTATTTCCTATTTTTCTGGTGATGTTCTGTCTCTCTGATCTCCAAATCAGTCTGATCTCCTGATTTGGTTATTTGTGTTTCAATTTTTATGTTGGATCTCTCGAGTTATGTGATTCGTGTTTTTGTTTTGTGATTAGTTTCTTGTGCTTCTTCTCTCTACTGCTGTTTATCTTTGTTTGTTGTGATGAATACTACTTCTGATCAAAGTCAGTTAGATGATGGTAGTTATGTTGCTCATAATATATTGTTTTCTACTAAAAAAATAAATGTTACAATTGATGACCATAATCACCTATTATGGCATCAACAAGTTTATCTCACAATCAAAACACATCGATTGCTTAAGTATATTGACAATATGGTTATTCCTCCTCCCGAACATGTGACTCGTGAAGGACAACTAAGAATTAATCCTGATTTTGAGGTTTTTGAGGAGCATGATGGTGCTCTTGCTTCCTGGTTGTTGTCTATTGTTAGTGAATATGTTTTGCATCATTTGACAGGGTTGAATACTTCCTCTGAGTTATGCACTCATTGCATAGGTTGTACAACAGCAAAACTACCTCTAGGTTAATATCTTTTAGGAGATTACTTCATTCTCAAAAGAAGGGTGAACTGTCTATAGAAGATTATTTGATGGTTATTAAAAATATCTATGATAATTTACCAAATTGTGGTGAACTTATTTCTGAGCATGAATATATTACTGAGATTTTGAATGGTCTATCTCTTGATTATGAGGCTGATGTCACTGTTATTACTGCTAGAACTGCCACTACTGATCTCAGAACTATTAGAAATGTTCTTCTTAATGCCGAGGCTAGACAATCTGGTTTCAATAATCAAATTAATGTTTCAGTTAATTTTTCTTCCCATTAGTCTATTAGTCAAAATAATAATATTGATTTTAGTACTAGATCCATAAATAATACTACTGATCATAGTTACAACAATAGGGATTCTGGTTATAACAGTAGGGGAAGAGGAAGGGGTAGGAATAATTCATCTAGACCTCAGTGTCAATTGTGTAGAAGAATGGGTCATCTTGCTGAAAGATGTTATTACAGGTTTGATATGAGATACAAGAATGAGTCTTCTAGACTCAATCATGGTAATAATGGCAGAAATCAAGACACCTCACAAGTTAATGTCAGTACTTATAATTATGTTCCTAATGTTCTTCCATAGTCTACAACTTTTTGTTATAGCCCCATCCTATTATGCCTATTGCTCCTGGGTTTTCTCAGTTAATGCCTAATGCTCATGTGATTTCCTCACCTCTTAATCCTTTTATTTTTGTCTTATATATTGTTTCTCCTATGTTGTTCCTATTATAAATGTGTGTTCTCAGCCTCAGTGCACCACTGCAAGTCCCTGGCAAACTCATTCCTCACCTCAAGCTCTTATTGCTACTCATGATGTGTTAGATGATAATGCATGGTATTCTGATTCTAGTGCCTCTCATCATATTACTAATGACTTTAACAATCTTCAAGTTGGTTCGACTTCTCCTGCTTCTAGAAATGTGCAAGTTGGAAATGTGTTATAGATCGAAAGAGAAATAGAGAAGAATTCGAGAAAAGATGATAGAATAAGAGAGAATTCAGAGAAAAGAAAAGTTCATTCATTCATTTCATAACCATTTTCTGTTTACATTGTCGTTTTATTTACATACAAGCATTGGAGAATCTGTTAATGCCAGCTGGACCATCCCTCTGAGTCTGCTGGTTTAGTGTTTTAATATCCCCCGTGCTCCTCACGTGACTTTCCCTCAGGTAATCTCTTCCCAATTTAATCTCAATCCCTAACCCTTATTTACTCATTTCCCCCAATTCTCCCAATTCTTCTTCGATACTCATCTCTCGTCCTTCGTCTTCTCCCTCTCGTCTTCCCTCTCCAACTGTGACAAAATGGTAATATGCTTCATATATTTTGGGCTGGTCAGTCAAATTTGTTTATTAATTCTAAGGTGTTCAAATTTAGAAATATGCTTTATGTTCCTCAAATCACTAAAAATTTGCTTTTTGTGTCTAAATTTACTCTTGACAATAAATTCTCCTTTGAATTCTTTCTTTCTTACTGTCAGGTGAAGGATCCTAAGTCGAGAAAGGTTCTTCTTGAAGGTCGTGAAAGTGGTGGCTGGTACAAGTTCTTGTTGTCTCAGAATAAATCTAATGTTTTCAAGCCTTCTCAAGGCTTTAGTTTTAATAATAATTCATGTACTTCTGCTGATTGTTCTATTGGTTCCAATGATTTATTTTTTTTGCTGTCAAACATGGTTCCTTAGAATTGTGGCATAAAAAAATGGGGCATCCTAGTAAGAATGTTTTGCTCCAAGCCCTAAGAAATTGTAATATCCCTTTTGATGATGATAATAATAAAGATCATGTTTGTATTGCTGGTCACTTAGCCAAGTCACATAATTCCCTTTTCCTAATTCTACTATTATGCTAAACCATTATAACTTGTTGTTGTTGATGTTTGGGGACCAGATCTGATATGTTCTAATGGTTTTAGCTACTATGTAGTGTTTACTAATGCTTATTCACGTTATACTTGGATTTATTTCTTAAAACAAAAATATGAGGTTTAACTGTTTTTGTTCAATTTCTTAGGCAAATTGAGAGTCGGGTGCAATTGGTTGCTCTTCAAACTGATGTGTGGAGGAGAGTTCTTGTAACATCTTAAACTTCGGGTCAGTGATTAAAGTGTAAAGATTGAAAATTTAGTGGTTTAATTTTGATAAATTGAAAAGTTCAAAGATTGATTTGGGATTTTTTGTGTAGGATTTATTTTCAAAGATGGAAAAATAGATGGGCATAATGGTCTTTTAGTATAAAGGAGCTTAAAATATCTTTTGCTAAGGCTTTATAAATGGGATTAAAAGAAAGAAAGAAAAGAAAAGTCTGGAAGCTTTTCCTCGTGAAACTCAATGCTAAGGAAAGTTACCTTTAAAGTTCGTTTTTGTTTCGTTTTTGAGTTGGGTTTTAATACTTGGGTGGTATAGAAACTTAAGGAAGCTTAAAGATAATTAGAAGCTAAAGGAATGAGGAGTTATTGGTGAATTAGTATAATGGGTTTTTGAGGGAAATATTAGGAAATGAGGAATATTTGAATTCTAAAGGAATATTTGACTTGTCAAGGGTTTAATTAAGGAGGTAAGAGTATAAAAAAGGAATAAGAGCATGTTTGAAGAAGTGATATGATTTTTAGTCTCAAGAGTTATATGAATAAATTTAGATATCTAAAGGGGATTATTGTATATAAGTTAGTTGGGGTAAGTGTAAGTAAGTTTAAAGGCATGAATGAGGTATAAAGTAGGAGATTTAAGTGAAGATGGATAAATTTTTGTAATGAACCAGAAGAATTCTGGGTAAGGGTATCGGTACTGTAAGAACAATAACGATACTATAATATTAAATTTAAAGAAGTTAGTATGAACCGAAGAACAGTATTGATACTAATTGAATTAGTATCGGTACCGATGTGGAGGTATCGATACAAAGAGGACAATATCGATACTGTAGTTGAAAGGGGATTTCTAGAATACTAAAATTGTATCGGTACCGAAGTGGATATCTATACCATAGAAGAGAAGTATCGATACAGTAGGTAGAATATCGATACTAATTAGTTTGAAATGTTAAATTAAGTGTTTTATTTTGTTTAAGTAAAGATTATTGGGTAGGTGTAATTGAGCTCTGACATTTATGGGACATATTAATGTGTATGTTTGTTTGGACACAAGTGTTGAACAAAGGGAAATACAGAGTTAGTAAGCTAAAGTGAAAGAGGTGTTGCTTAGGGCTTAATTTAGGCCAAGGTGAGTATTTACTTATTTTATTTATGAATGGAGGATGGCTTGCGAGGAGCCAACCTCAATTATTTTTGAACAAAATAAAATGCTATTAGTATATATATATATATATAAAGTTTTTATGTGAATATGGTTTATATAAGTAAATGGATAAGTTGTGTAGGGATATGTAAAAGGAGAAATTTATGTGCATCACTATGAAAGTATGTGATATGTGATTAAATGAAAAATAAATAATAATAATAATATTTGATAATGATATGTGATAATTTGATATGTGAAATGTTATGTGAATATGTGATAAGTGAATATCTTCTATGGAATATAAGTGATAAGTAAGAAAGGTTATAAGGAATGTTATGAATGAATTCTCTATGTGAATGTACTCTATATGATTACGACATACTTTAAATAGTTAAACGAAACATAATTATAAAGCTAAAGCCCAAAGTATATTTTATGAGAATTAAGGGTATAGTTCGTATGCCAAGAGTTGAGGGTTCTATGTAGTCCTACGGGATAATCCTATGTGGTCATTTGGGATAAAATTATGTGGTCATTTGGGATAATTATGTGACACTTCGGTGTAAATTACGAGCTGTGGTGACAACATTAGTGCACAACCTCAATATACTCATATACCTTGAGTTCTCAGCAGTATACGTTAGGCTAACTAAACAAATGAATATAAATTAAACAAATTGATATTGAATGAAAAGTGCATAAGTTATATTTAGTTCATATGAAATATATAAGTAAAAGTAATGAGTATAAAGTTATCAATGTTAATAAGATATGTTATAAATTATAGAACTTGTAATGTTTTGTACCTAATAATTATTTTGCAAAATTTCCATAATTGTTTTATCGTTTATATTGCTCAAAATGTCTCACTAAGTCATAGACTTAGCATGCATGTGTTTTCACACGTAAGTTCAAAGTATGCGAGGAGTAAGCCGGGTAAGCAAGGGACATGACAACATACAACGGAATATTATTAGATCATAAAATTTTTGGAATTTTATGTGATTGTGTTCTGGGAATGTTGTTGGCATGTACTATAAATGTAAGTGTAGATACTCTGATATGTATTTTAATTATGATTTATTAAGTTTTATTTTCATTGTCAAGTTTAAACAGTTTTTTAAAGGGTCAAAGTGTTTTAAAAGTCAATGTGACAACTTAGATTCGTATCTGAGTCGGATACGGGTTGAGGTGTTACATTTAATGATATAAGAGCTTAGGTTGAGTCAAGTTTTCAAAATAGACCTGCCGGTCGAATGTAAAAAATGTTTGGTTTGTACATGCCAACGAAATAATAAGTATCTCTGATATGATAGTGTAATGAGTATGTTGTCCTTTTTGGTATAGTTAAGTAATTTGATATTAAGCGATGTAGACTAAGGGTTCTTCCGAAGTGAAGAGAGAATTAGAGTTATTAAATGAGTAATATGGTAAAGTGAATAACAAGCGCCTAGTGAATACTTTTCGAATGATGGATTTGATTTTGAAAAAAATTTCAATCGTTTAGTTCTTCAAGTTATTAAAATAAATATTGTTAAAAAGTTGAAAGTTTAGGAGTACCTGAATTAAATGAAGTAGCTAAAGAAGGTTTTGATTCTGCGGATTGTTCGTTAGTGAAGAGAAAATTTTGGTTGGATGGTCTCTACCGTTCTAAAATGGATAAGTTTGATGGAGTGATTTTATTGCTAAGAGGTTGTGCACGTATATGATAGATCACATGTGATAAAGAAAGTAAAGAGGTTTCCAACGAGGAATGTTAAAGGTAATTATTATGAACTTTTGGATGAATTTAGTTCACAAAGTAAAGTAGCAAAGAAAAACAAGTATCATCTTATGGGAAATTAGAATAATCATGGTTGCAAATTAGATATATTTAATTGTTAAGCCAAATAAATTGGTGAGATAAAATAAAGACATGAAGTAGAATTATGATTAATGATTTAAACTTCAGAAAGAAGTTAAGGTTGAAATAGTATAAAGTATAAAATAAATACGAGTTATGAGTGGCTGGAAGTGAAAAAGTTAATTTGAATTCGAAATCTGTTGGAGTACTTTGATTATTCAAAAGATTTATGGATAAATTCTCTAAGATTCCTCACTACTAAACAAGTTATTAGTAGGGAAGGCAATAGTTATTTGGATTGCAAGAAACAAGGAAATGCAAGATAAATAATAATAAGATTTGTAGGAAAAGTAATTAGGTTTCGTTCGAAGTAAAAGAATTATGCAATAAGCAAATAAGGAGTTAAAATTGTTAATCGATAAGAAGTCAGGTTAAATGTCAATTCTATAATCTGGATTAGAAGACTCATAAGAAAGAGTATCGTAAATGATTAGGTGCATATTTGAATCTAGTTCTTGAAGATTCAAGTGGAGAAATGTAAGTAGGGATTATTAAGAATAATGTTATGTACAAGTAGGGTAAGCTATCAAAGTTAAGTAGGTGTAATAAAATAGGTAAACAGTAATAAGTACAAGTAGTAAGATGTCGTTTCTCCTAATAATATGAAAAGAATATTGAAATATAAAAAAAAAGATGATCTAGGTTACAAGTAAGTTTTTGAATAAAGAAGGAAATTTTTTGAGTTATGAGTAAAAGTTAGTAAATATTGCCTAAAGACGATGAAAAAATATATTGGATTGACTGCATTGAAGTTAAAGAAGAGAACTTGAAGGGTTGGTCAAATTACGAAGTCAAAAGTAAGATAAAGAAAAAAGGTCAAGACTTTAAGGATCATAAGAAAGATATGGAAATTGATATGTTATGTTGATCGTTGGTTGTCTGTTGGAAGAAAAAGATGCAATTAATGTAGAGGAAAGTTTAAGTTTATTTAATATAATAATGTAAATATATATATATAAGTACATGTTAAGGATATGACAAGGAAATCGAGAAAATGAAAAAGTATAAGATATGTTATATTAGTAAAGACATAAGAAATTAAAGTGAAAGGTTTAAAGAACCAAGTACGACAAGGATTTTAAAGGGTGTAGCTGATAAGTTTGATATGTTGAAATTAAGGTATTAAATAAATTTAGAAAAGTAAACAATTTTCAGTTCTCAGTAGAAAAGAGAAAGGATTTCAATGAATTTCGTATTTGGGTTACCTTTGACATCGATAAAAAATGATTCATTGGGTAATTGTGGAGCCATTATCAAAGACCCCATATTTCGTTCATGTTCGAACTGCTTTTTTATGGAAGTAGTTAGACTTCATGGAGTGTCATTTTTAGTTGTATCAGATGAAATCTAAAGCTTACTTCAAGGTTTTGGAATTATTGGAGCAAGGCCTTCAGAATTTGATCTAATTTTGGCACTATTGTGCATATGCTATTGATGGTGGGCTCGACCAGATTATTCAAATTTTAGAATTTATGTTAAGGCATAAGTGATCAAGTTTAATAGATCAAGAGAAAAATGGTATGTTAAATTGACCAGGTATAACGGTGGATTTTCTAAAGTTGTATTTCTTGGCCAGGTAAACTCAGCTAAGAGAATAAGGATATGTATATTAAAGAAGTGATGTATAGTTGATTGAAATACCAATGAATATTGATACA